ATATATATATATATATATATATATGAATTTATAATAATAATAACAAAAAATATTTATGGATTTATTGTTTATACCCATAAACATCAGTTAATTTTTAACATGTATTTATATTTCACATAATACATGTGCTGTAATATGTATTACACTTATATATGTAATATTGTCTTTTTAATTGTATATTCTGTCTAGGAATATAAATCATAATGAAAATCTATAAGCCTGTAAATAAACATACGATTGTTTTTTATTGTATTATGTATGTTTATGAATATCAATCAAACTTTTGTGCAAATATCTAAATATATTTTAACTATACATTTTCAGTGTGAATTACTCTTAAATGACATCTTTCACATAAAATATGGGGTATCAATAAAATACATTATGTATTATGTACATTATGTAATACATTAATACATCAAATACAAATGTATCAATGTTTTAAACATACATTATAGAACATCCATAAATAATAAATGTAATGCTATAATACATAATTTATGAATGTATAATAAGATTATTATTATTATTTATGGATATATTGTTAATACTCATAAACATTAGATGATTATTAATTAAATTCATGAAATATTTATTAATAAATGCTTTCTACATGTATTTATATTTTAAACATACATAATACAATTATATTATTGTCTTTTATTGTATTGTAATGCATGTGTATGAATATCAACCATATTCAAAACCTATATGCATGTAAAAAAAAATTGTATTATGTATAAGTATATAAATCATAATTAGTCTAAATGAATGGATGCAGATTATGTATAGCAGCTCACCTCTATGAGCAGGAAGGCCAGAGCTGGACTGAGGCTTGCAGGCATGTCATATGGACACTCACTGACACTGGTCAGCATATCACAGTGATCTGCTTCCGCAGGCAGAGGAAACTACAAGTCAAAATAATCGAGAAAAGGCTCACAGTCTGTATAAGCAGACCATAGCATTTTCTACACATCACTGAGATCTGCACATTGAGACTGACACATCCATCAAGTATATGCTCATCTTGCAGTACAGCCTCTATATATGTCTCACCCCTCCAGTGGCTAGAGCATAGAGAAGAATACCAAGAGACCACCAGTCTGCAGCGTGGCTGTACGGACCGCCGCTCAGGACCTCAGGAGCTGTTTAATGACCACATCATGTAATTAAATATCCATTTTTACAGAAGTAGCTCATTTGCTTAGAGCTATAAGTGTCTTTAGTTACTGTCAGATATAGCTGATGGTAAACACAGTCTTACTACGGAAATCCTTTCCCATTTAAAAAGAGTGCAGTTCAGATTTCAGCCTCACCCATGTACTGTATTGTGCCGCAGATAGTAAAAGCTCTATCCCCGTGCTCAAGACGGCGAGACAGCCCGAAATCAGTCAAGCGTAGGTGACCTAAATGAAACAGCATTAATTTGTCTATTCTACAATTCCCTTTTCTGAAAGCTAAATGAGTGCTTCACAGTTGGGATGGACATTTGAAAACAATCCAAAGACACAAAAGATATATATATATATATATATATATATATATACAGTATAAATATGTGTGTGTGTGCATGTGTAATATATATATATATATATATATATATATATATATGGTTGCTGTCTTGGTATATGTGAAACTTATGCAAATCTGTGTATATGTTTGCTTTTTTAAAATATGATATGAATTTGTTTATGATATATAGTAGTAACGTGGATGAACTATCTGCATATATGTTCATATTATACAATGTGAAGTTGTTACAAATTTTTTATTTCCCATTTAAGCACATTGTTTTATATATATATTCCTGACTGCATAATAAATGTCTAGACTACACAATAACAGCAGTGATATTTCTCTGGTTGAGAAAATAGGTATAATTATGTCTTCCAATAAGGAAATTGTATAGAAAATTGTGGGATAAATTTGGAATTAATGATTATTTTAAAAAGGAACTAAATATCTTTAAATACAGATCGTTCTGAATTATTCAAATATATCGGGGTTGAATTTTGATTGCGAGTATATATGTATGTACACACACACACACACACACACACACACACACACATATATATATATATATATGCTTTTGAAAATCCATATTTTTTTAATGCATCTATAACAGTTTAATAGTATATTAAAAGTGATCATGCCAATATATAATGTAATATTTATGGTAATAATGCTGTCAGATTTATTCAATCCCTATTAAATACTGCTGTTCCCTTTCATGGGAACTTCAAACTGCGTCCTCTAGGGGTCGCTATGGGGAACG